CCTAATTACCTTCCACTAGGCCTCACCTTTTAAAGATCTTGCCATCTCTTACTTAACACTACCCCTTGGGGACCATACTTCCAGAAAACGATACTTTGGGAGACACACTCAAACCATATCCAAACCATAATACCGTGGAAGGAGGATTTTGTAGATAAACACATCTTACTCTTCTCATAGTGGGAGGTAACCATCTTTTTAAATTATTTTTTTGAAATTGAGTACATAATTTACAGGACATAAAATCCAAAAATGACCAAGAAGTACCACGTGTCACACTCCAAGCCCCATATCACAGCCACTGGCTGTCTTTCTGTAGTGACAAACATTATTGCCAGTTTCTTGTGCAGTCTTCCAGAGATATTATTCTATGCATATGGTAATATAGCATTTCTCTTTGTGAACAGGTAATTGCATACATATGTGTTTTTCTCTGCCATACACGTTTTCTTAACATCCCTAAACAGAATGTTGCCTTTCCTTTTAAAAGGATAGAGACATTCTATTGTTTGGTCATATCATGAATTATCTAACCAGTAGTTTTTAGATAGAAATTTAAGGTTATTTTGCATTTTGATTGGCAAACAATGGTTTGGTCTTGAACATGCATTATAAAATACCTAGACTGAATCACTGAGTGAAATTGTAGGTTTACTGCTGATTACCACACTTTTCCCCTACAGGTCACACCAACATGCCTGCTCCTGAATAAGTCACAAGTGTTAAAGTCCCTCAGCCACCCTCCCTCTAAAGCTGTTCTCACTGTAGCTTAATCGGCTTCGCTCCAACCTAAATGAGGTTAAGGATCTTCTCGTGTACAAGATCACTTGATTTCCTTTGCTAAGAAAGTTTCTGTTCATTTCTTTGCCTACTTTTGGAAGATTTCTTGTTCTTTGTGTATGGGGAGGAAGTCTGGGGAATGAATTCAGGGCGGCATGCTTGCAAAGCAGGTGCTCTAATACTTCAGCTACACCTCCAGTCCACTTTTGCTCTAGATTATGTTGGAGATGGAGTCTCTCAAAGTATTTACCAGGGCTGGCTTTGAACCACAGTCCTCCCAATCTCAGTCTCCCAAGTAGCTAGGATTATAGGCCTGAGTCACTGGTTCTCAGCTTCTGGTTCCTTTTTTTAATGCTCTTGGTGAATACTGGAATTGTCCAGCTCCATCTTCCAGATAAACTTAGAAGAAAGCCTTAAAGTTTGCATTGCATTGCATTGCGAAACTAGTGCTTCTCATCAAACTTGTCCTTTAGGGGGTAAATTTTGTACATTTAAAATCACTAATTACATTTACTATGAAGATTGTTTTTGAAGTGGAGCTGTGAGCACATGCTTTGCATGTAAGTGGTGGATGTGTGGGTGGGAGCAGATGGATGGGTAGATGAAAACTACGGTGTCACAATGGGAACAAAGTTTTGCTTTTCAAGTATATTTTCTTTTTGAAACAAGGACATTACAGGAGGTGGAAGTCTCTAATGCCTCAGACATGACATGGACCCCAACTTCTAGCCACACTACCACAAAACCTTGCAACTGAGAGGCCCGTTTGCCTCAGTTCCTATTAGTCAGTATATCATCTGACTTTCAATAACAAGAAAATTTTTAGGCACACTAAATGCTAGGGGAAAATAGGGTGAAAGAGACAAAGCAAACATCCGAACCAGACTCAGATATGATTCAGAGTTTGGAGTTATATGACAGGAAATTTAAATAACTGATTAATACGTTAAGGGCTCTTGTGCAAAAGGCAAATGACAAGCAAGAACAGATTGGATAACATAAGCAGGGAGGTAGAAACTATAAGAAAGCAACAAAAGGAAATACTAGAAAAATTTAAAAACAAAAAACAGTGTGACTGAATGAACAGTTCCTTTGATGGACTCATCCACAGACCGAGCCTAGTCAAAGAAGGAGTCCATGAACTTTGAAAATGGGTTTACAAAAAATTTCCCAAACTGAAATGCAAGAAAGTCTTCAGTGAAGGACTTGTAAGTTTACCCCGCTTTTGCCTTCCATGTATTACTATTAATCACCTGAAGAATTGGACTCTGTGCCAAGAGACAGCTTTTGCTGGTCTTCTGGTTTTGTAGGAGTTCGATCACTGCTCAGCAGAGCTCAGTATCCTCCAGTGTGCCCCACGGCTCATCCGTGCAGTTCTAGGCCCATAAAGCTAACTGATCCACGCCACGGTTACTAGTAGAGGACTAGATAGCAACTAGAGGGAGGTGCCAGCAGCACAGCTATACTAAAGTCTATCTGACATCATGACTGTGGTCCAGAGACTGGTTCCAGCTGAAAAGTGACAGGTGAGCCTGAGGCAGAGCCTCCATCCTGAAGAACCAATGGGAACAGGTTGTCACAGCAAGGGCCCAAATTGGGTACACAGTGAGGAGGTTATCTCAGAACCAAGGGATCCAAGTGATCAGAAATGGGGCACCAAGACTGGATCAGCCAAGAAAGAATGGTGAGTGACTTCCAGTGGGTTCTATCCACAGTGGTGCTCTGCTGCTTGCCCAACACAAAGTCTTGCCAGAGTGCAGATGTCAGGGTGTGCTGGAGTCCATCCATGGTCTGATGAGATGCTGACAGTGGAGAATGGCTGAGAAGCCAAGACTGCTGCCACCTGCTTGTACCTTCTGTGAAGGAGCCCAAGCTTGGCTCACAGTCCACCCTGGGACTTACATTCTTGCTCTATGTGGAGAACCCCAAGTTTTGTCCAAATAAAAGGGTGTGGCAGAACTCCCACTGTTCATCTCTTGGGTGCTTTTTTTTATCCTGTCACCACACTGCCTCCTGTCCCCTCACACTGTAAGTGTCTGAGACAGTTGCTTTCATGTGTCAGCTTGGCTAGGCTGTAGTGCCTAGCTGCTTGGTTAAATAGCAGTCGACAGACTGCTCTGGGGACTTTTTTTTTTTTTTTGGTGGTTTGGGGTTTGAACTCAGGGCCTCATACTTGCTAGGCAGACCCTTTAGCAACTGAGCCACTTCTCCAGCCTTTGTTTGTATTGGATATTTTTGAGATAGGGTCTAATTTTTTGTCTGGGCTGGCCTTGGAACCACAAGCCTCCTGATTTCCACCTCCCGAATAGCTAGCATTATAGGCATGAGCCACCAGCACCCAGCTTGAGAACATTTTTAAGATTCGATTAACAGGGCTGGCAGAGTGGCTCAAGTGGTAGAGCACCTGCCTAGCAAGCTTGAAGCCCTGAGTTCAAACCTCAGTACCACAAAAAAAAAAGATTCAATTAACATTTATAATGAGTAGATTTTGAATAAAGCATATTACCCTCTATAACATGGATGAGCCTCGTCCAATCACTTGAAGCCCTTAGGGGCAAAGAATGAGGTTCCCAGAAGAAGGAATTATGCCTCAAGACTACAGCATAGGGCCCCTGCCAGAATGTCCTACCTTATAGACTTACCAACCTCCACAATATCACTAACGTCTTAAAATCTCTCTCTCTCTCTCTCTCTCTCTCTCACACACACACACACACACACACACACACACACGTTCTGTTTCTCTGGAGAATTCAAATACAGAGCCTCTACAAGTTTGTTGGCAGGAAAGAGTTTAACCTTTTTGCAATAAATGCAAACTCACATTTGTAACCAAAGGGGAATTTCGTTCAGCAAAAAGCAATCATTCTATCCACTTATCTGACAGTGATATTAAAAATAGACTCTGTTCAACTTTGCTGCTTTCCGTTAATTTTCAGTGTCACGTTGTTGCAGCAGGGCATAGCCCTCCAGCATGTCAATGTCAAAATCAATGGTTATCTTAAAAAAAAAAAGCTGTTCTAATTCTGGCCACTTCTAACTGCTGCACTGCGAGGGCCCTGAAGAGGCCCCAGTGGAAGCCTCTTCACCGGGACCAACCACATAGCACACTTCACTTGCTCACCAGCTTATGGGGCCAAACTGATGGATCCAAAACTTCAGGTTTGCTTCTGTTTTGATTTTTGGAAAAGAAAGAAAACTATAAAACACCATCATCTGAGAGTCCCAGGAATGTGCCAGCAAATGACAGCAGCATGGTTGTCAAAGTACCTCTCCCGAAGGAGCTGACAGAGGCCTCTCCTTTGGTGGATACCACTATTTATTTATTTTGTCTCAACTTCCCTGTGAACTGACTTCCGGTATGGATGGCTTTTATACTTGCACGTAAGAAGAAATGTGGGTTTTTTTGTTGTTGTTGTTTAAAACCAAAGTACCATGTTAATTTAGAAAGTTCCCAGAGGTTTGGCACCTGAACACCAGACACTACACACCACATGTGGAAGGCAAACCCAAACTCTATGGCATAAATAGAACATAAATGTGTTTAAAACCACTTTCTGACAATGTATCTTTTAACAGATAGACATACTTTATTTTGACAAATTTGAGATAGAAAAATATCACAATGTGAATATAGCTGTTGTTCTTTTGGTAGCACAGTTTGGAGTGTGCAGTGCAATTTAGGATTGGGTTACAGGATGGTCTGTCTCTTTTCTGGCTGGACTGCAGTCAGTACTGAATTATTCAGCCACTGAATTTGCTTGAAATAATATTACATAGTAAAACTGATTTTTAAAAAGGTTATGGCATTCAATACTAAATATTATGAAGCAAGAACCAAAACAACTCAAGATATTTTTACAATTACAAAAAGCAAACTCTTACACTTCACAATTAAACCTAAGAATTTCTATTTTCAAAATAGCTTAACATTTCCTCCCAATATATAATAGAACAACAGAACATTTACTTTAAAAAAAGTGAATTAAAATTAGAGTAAACATGATATTGCATTTGACTCTAAACAGTAAACAATTCAGTGTATTTATAGATGTCATTTCAACAATCTACTCTGCCCAGCTGGAAATAAAAACCGGTTCCTACTATCATCAAAAGTGTGCCCCTGAAGATAATCTTTGAAATTATCAAGTGCTGCCATCATTCCTTCACTTATATCTGGAGAGGGGTGGCTGAGGGACTCGGTGCATGCATATATTTGTTTATGGCTCGAAAGACAACAAAATAAATGAGCCAGGAGTCTGAAGCTGAATTCAACTATCTGACTGTGCTAAGCACCTTCACCATATTTTTTCTCTCTGATCCCTCAGGTAAATAATTCACACGGGTGCTAACTTTGTGGGCTATTAGTTCCTTTCAGCTTCTTTCTTTGCTTCCCTTCCCCACTCCTCAAAGAATAAAACTGGGAGGCCCATCATTAAAATGTTACTTCTAACATATAAAATAACTGTATGTACATATGCACATACACGCATGTCCTTTTCAAGGACTGGGTAACTCTTCATTTTCTATCAAATAATCCTTTTTCATGTATTTGGTTCCTCTAACTAACCTCCATACTTCCAGGTAAGCATCTTTCAAGGACCTCTTATTTCCTTCTTCAGAGCAGTCTGAGATTGGGGAGCTCCTGGCCACCAGCGGGACCCCTCGGGGGCTGCCCCTGGACTCTTGCCCACTCTGTTGAGCGGAGCCACCTGCTCCCTCCCCACCCTCTGACACCCCATTTCCACCCTTCCCGGGCAGCTCCTCCATCACGAAAGGCAGCTGGGCTCCACTTGGCTGCCTTTCATATTCCGCGGGCTGCGACTCCTCCAAGTCTTCGTAGTTGCTTTGCCTTCTGGTCTCCATGAATTTGGCCACGCAGTAAATGATGGAGCCCAGGGTATTCACCACGACGCCGGCAATGAACAGAGAGGTCGGCTCCACATCGTTGAAGGCCACCATGCCCACCGTGATGGTGGCAATGCTCTTCACCACGCCCACGAAGCTGGTGGTCACCGCTGAGTTGATGTAGGTACAGTGCAGCGTGGTGAAGTTCATAGCGCAGCCGATTACGATGCAAGCCACAAAGATGCAGACCATGGCCGGGTCCTTCCAGCCCGGAAAGGCCCAGGCGTGGATGGAGTCGGTGCTGGCGAAGGAGCAGATGACCAGCAGCGGGGTGGCGGAGACGGCGATGACATACTGGGCTGTGAGCGGCCCGTGCTCGGTGTCGGCGCTCGCTTTCTGGATGAGCACCAGGTAGGCGGCGTGCACCAGCACCGCCAGCACGCCCGTGACGTACCCAATGGGGTCGCCGGTCAGGTCGCCGGCTCCTGGAGCGCGGGAGGAGGGCGGCCGAGCCAGCACGGGAAGAAAAAAGAGAGAAGACACGGAGTTGGCGTGGGTGGGTATCCACAGGGGTGACGCGTCGCATTGGAAGTAGACGGGGTTCTCGCTCCAGCTCTGCCCACCAACTTCCTGAGTGCCCAACCGCGACAGCCAAGCTCAGTCAATGCATGGTGCGCACCAGGACAGGTGTCTTCCCTGACTTGTCTCCAAGTCACCCATGACAAAGGCCAACGGACAGCGCAGATGCCCTCGGGGTAGGCGCTGTGGCTTCCCTGAGTTGGCACCGAGGTCACCTAGGCGCGCGGTACCTCTATCCCCCGCCCCGTGGGGCACTAGAAGGAAGAGGGAGCCCCAGCTAGTGACCTCAAATCCCGAGCGGGCCAGGCGCGGGGCGAAGGTCGCTTCTCCTACCTGGCCTCGGAATGAGGGCTTACGATGCTCGCGACTGCATATCGCTCAGCCCGGCCCGCACCTAAGTCACAGGCTGGCGCCCCTGCCTAGCGCCTGCAGCACCCCCGCGCGGCGCCGATCACCCCAAACTAGCGGGGGAAGCCCAAGCTTCACGCCCACCCCTCCCCCATCCCAGCCCCGCGGAATCCAAGGAAGTTCACGGCCCCCCTCCTTCCGGCTCAGTCCCAGCCTAGACCACAGCCTCGGCTCCTTTGGCACTCCCACCCCTCCCGGTGGAAAGGGTTGAGAGGGGAAGAACAGGGTGGGGGCGGCGGGAAGGGCGTTACGCGGTGCCACAGGGGCGGGGGTCGGAAGCCTGGACACTTGGTGGGGTGCCGCGAGGGAGGAGGCCATAGCGCCGAGCAAGGCTCTGCTGAGTCTCAGAAGAAAGTCCCTTTCGCAAGCCTCACGACCACTCTCAAAGCTCTCCGCCTCTCCCTGCCTCAGTCTCCCCAAATGGAAGTGATCTCTGCGGGCTCTGCCCGGTGGGGTGGGGTGGGGGTTTGGGCGCGGGTCCTGCTCACCTGCCAGGGCGGCGCCGCAGGTGGTGATGAGCACGGCCGCGAGCACCCCGGGCGAGGGCGCGCCGTTCTTGAGCACCAGGACGCCGATGAGCATGGTGACCAGGGGCAGGCAGCGTTTGAAGACCACGTACATGGGCAGGCTGAGGCCGCGCAGGGACCAGAGCGTGAGGCTGGACTGCAGCGTGGAGAGCACCGCGACCCCCGCGAAGGAGCGCGCCAGGCTCAGGCCGAAGGGGGGCACCGCGATGAGCCCGAGGCGCCGCAGCAGCTCCAGGCTCAGCGCCGCCGTGGAGCTGGTCAGGCACTGCACCAGGGTCAGGAAGGAAAACTGGTAGCGGCTGATGAGGAACTTGAGCAGGATATTGAGGGAACCCGAGAAGACCCCATGCGCGATGGCCACCGAGATGCCCAGCACGCGGCCCCGGCACAGCTGCCGCATCGCGCCGGCCCCGCCGCACCCGCGGTGGCGGAGCTCGGGGACCTGCGGGAAGAGAGCGCAGGGGAGTGGAGCGAGGGCGGCGGGGGCGCCAGCCCCGGGCGGCGGCGGAGGTCAGGGAGCGCGGGCTCGGCGGCACGGGGCAGCTCCTGCCGGGTGTCCTCGCCGTTCGGCAGCTCCGCGTCCGACTGCCCGGCAGCTCCGGGGAGGCAGGGGCGGGGGCGGGGGACTCCGAAAAGTGGCAGGGTGGGGGGACGGTCTGGAAGGAGTGGCGGGAATCCTAGCGACAGCGATTAGTAAGTGGGTGACGAGCCGCGATGGGCTGTGTCCCGCGCAGTTTCCCCGTCTGTCCGGGAAGCCCAGCGTAGGGAAGCGGGGCAACTGGGTTCACTGGTGCGGCTGGCACAGGGCAGGACCGGCCCGCGCCCCTCGGGTCTCCCGCGCCCACCCAGGGGCGCGGCTTCTTTTCTCTTCCAGCAGCGGCCAAGCCTAGGGGCGCGGGCTGGGGGACCTCGACACTGCTAAAGAGGATATTATAAACGACAGCGCTCGAGGAACGAGCACCATTTATTGGTCGCAACAAGTGACGACTGCCCAGCCCGGGTGCCCGCGTGCCGCAGCGGATTTCCACCCACGGTTTCTCCCAGCGCAGCAGCGGGAAGCGACACCCGTCGGTGCCGGAGGGCGGCGGAGCCCCTGACACTCAAGATGCAGGGCAGATCCCGGACATCGAAAGCGCCCCTGGCTTGGGGGTGCTTTAGAGCCCCCCTAAGCGCACCGAGATCTGCGCGCCTTCCAGGAAGGGTCTAGGGAAGTCACTCTGCTGGTGGCTTCGAAGGGCTGCGAATCCCGGGGTGGAGGCACGCATTTAAGTGAGGAGAAGATGTAAAATAAGCAAAAGGGCAGAAACTAAGTCCGTGGTGCAGGTAGTCACTACCAGTGCAGGAGAAGCGTGGAGGCGACGCTGCCTGAGCGATGGAAGAGGAGGCATTAGATGCCCCCAGGAACCGGGAGTGTGGGAGGAGACAGAGGTGAGGTGGGGACTGGAACCCCGGGCTCTCCACCCTGCAAGGAGCTCCGCGTAGCTTTCTTGGATTCCAGGGAACCGGTGGCAGCCTGCGGGACAGTCATGGGCCGCTTTGGGGAGCAGGACGATGAGAGATGTGGGTCCCACCTTCCTGGGCCCCGCGGGACTTGTGCATTGTGTACTTCCTGCATAGCAAAGAGTAAAAGGGCGCAAGCCCAGTGAGTATGATCTGAATTCACTTCCCAGGGAAGTCGTGCTCTGCCCCGCGAGAGCTCAGCAGCTGCTCAAGCGAGTTCCATGCTGAACGCCAGACACAGATACGTGAAATCTGTGGCCAAGGCCAAGGTTCATGGGTGCGAGGAAGTGAGATCACTGCACTCCTCCGCTTTTGGTCACTGGGAGCCACCAGTAGCAACCTCCTAACCCTTAACCGCCCCACCACCTTGCCTTGACACACGGGAGCCTTTTCTCTCTCAATTCTTCTTTCTGCTTACAGTCTCACCTCGGTGCGGATCACAGCCAGGTGTTTAGGCTGTAGTTATTAGCATCGCAGCAGGAAAAAGATGCAGCAGGGATTGCAGTCTCGCTGCAGTACTTCTTTCTGAACCAGCTTTGTCTGATGTGCGTGCTGATTTGGTTGAGTGGGAGCTCCGTCTTGACCAGTTCCTTAGCACACGTGCTCAGAGCCTAGTAGGGCCACCTGCCTGTCCTGCACAGGAAAAACGTATGTGAATGGCCCAGTCTGCTAGCTTTCCAGGAATAACGCTGGACAACATTATACAGAAAACCCATGCTTCCGGTTCTCCTGGTTGCTCTTGTTTTTATTGAAGTTGTGGTTACACACTACAGGCTATTTAAGGGACTTTTTTTTTTTAAGGGTTTATGTTATTTCTTTAGGCAATAAAAAAGCATGAAGCAGCAGTCAAATTATGGTTTAAGCATACATTCAAAATATACACAGAGATAAAAACTGAAAAACAACTTTTTAAAGGCATCAAGAAATAGATTTCTGTTTCTAGGGACCATTTCAATTAAAGGCTGACTGCTGTAAGCCATCCTGAGTGAATATTACAAAGTGGCTGCACAGACCTAGTTTTGGAATGATTCATTTCTGCCAGCAGTTATAATTGCTTCCATTTGCCATCCTAACATCAGGTGGAAGATCAGAGGCTGACTCAGCTACCTTACCCTTCTCATTTAGGCAAGACTACTTAGCTTAATGTTTGAAACCTACAGTGGCAAGACACCCAACACATTTTCTCCACTTTATTGCATCTAGTTCTTTATTAGAGCTTTAAAATTTTTAACCTCATCTCCCACAAAACCAGCTACTAGATAAGTTCCTATAGAAACTGTGGGTGGGGGGAGAAATAAGAATACTATGTTTAGCACTGTTAATGGAACAAGCTTGTAGATCTGAAGCCAAATAGCTATCTGACCAACTGGAATCAAGGTATCAACCATGCAGACGCAAGCTCTTTATCTTTAGAGCTACTCAATAAATATTAGTGGCATGAAATCAATCTTTCAGTTCATTCATTCAGCAAACACACAGAGCAAGTATTTTGCTAGGTAGTCTGTTAGCCAGGAGGGGTCAAAGAGGAGCATTCAGTAGGTTCTTGGGTATCACAGATGGGGGTGAGGTAGCACACAGAAGCTAGTGGGACAGTGAAGTCGCTGCAGGAAACAGGGAAGCACCCAAGAGTAGCAGAGTCTGGCTAACAATCCAGTCAGCGTGACAGGTAGCAGAGAAGGCTTCCTAGAGAAAGAAATATGACTTTTTAAAATGTTTATTATTATTATTTTTATTTTTGGCAGTGCTAGGGCTTAAACTCAAGGCTTCCAGCAGGTGCTTTACTACTTGAGCCACACCCCCTTTTTGCTTTAGTTTGTTTTTAGATAGGATCTTTGCGTTTTGCCCTGCTGGCTTGAGACCAAGATCTTCCTACGTCCATTTCCTGAGTAGCTGGGATTACAAATGCACTTGGCCCCATTACTTCATTATTTTTTAAATTAGTGTATGCTAAGTTGTACATAGTAAGGGCTTTCATTATATGGAAATATGTGCATATGATGTACTTTGACCACCCCTGTATCACTCTTAGCACTCCTTTCTCCCCTACATTATTTTTAATTGTAAAAGTAACACATACTCATTCATTGTAGTACATAAAAGGAAAACAAACTTTATAAATAACATGTAAACATGCCATCTTCAGTGTTCCCCATCCTCCACCCCCACTGCACACAGCTGGCTACCTTTCAGTCTTCGTTGCATTGGATTTATACACGAATAGACTCCCTCTTTAAGAACTAAAATTAGGAGTTGGGGCATGGATCAATTGGTAGAGCACCTGCCTAACAAACATGAGGTCTTGAACTCAAATCCTAGTACCACCAAAAAAATCCAAATATCACACACATGCCATCTGTACTTTGCTATTTAAAAGCATACTGTGGTTATCAGCTTTCAATATAGTCCCTAATGACCCCGTTTCCTCATACTCAACTCTTGTTAGCTTCCCACACTGTAACAGGGTTGATCTTTGGGACCAACAGAACCTGACAGAAGTGAGGGTAAGTCACTCCTGAAATTCAGTCATAAAAGGCTGAGGATGCTATCTGGGAGGAAGCCAAAGGCCACACAGTGAGAACACCTTGGATAACCTGTGGGAAGTCCCTCGTGGTGAGTAGCAGAGTCTGGCTAACAATCATGTGACTGAAGGGAAGCCAATCCTGAGGCTGAAAGAGGCGGCTTACCCAAATGGCACAGAAATGCTGAGCCTGAGCAAATCAGCTAAGCTGCTTGTGGATTCCTGACCTACTAAAACTGTGAAGCAATGAATGTGTTTTAACTGCTAAGTTTTGAGACAATGTGTTATGTTGAAGTAGGTAATATGACCGTCATAGTCAGGATAGCTTATTCTTTTAAATGACTATTCTATAGTATAAACTTTCTCTTGTAGCCAGACATTTAGATTTTCCAAAACAATGAAATAATATGTACTCTTGGATATTTATTCTTACACATACTTCTTTGAGGATCTGGAAGTGGAACGGCTGGGTCAAGGGTAACTTATTGGCTTATTGCCAAATTGTCTACCCAAACTGTGTAACAGTGCTCTCATTTTAACTAAAACTGAATACTATCAATATTTTCAATGTTTGTCAAACTGTCGTATAAAAAAAAGGGTTCAGTCTCATTTTAATTTGTAATTCTTTGTCAGCGTTGAGTCTAAATCTTTTTGGAGTATATTCACCATTTGCCTATTTCCCTGAACTGTCTATTGACATCCCTTGTTCACTTTTGTGTTTAGTTCTGTTGGTGATGTTTAAGAGCTCTATAAATTCTGGATTTAATAAAGCCTTCCATTACAGCCTCTCCCTCCATTAGCTTTGTTGATGGAGTGCTTTGCTATTTTAATTTGTATGTTGTCGATCTTTTTCTTTAGCCATTTCATGTCACTTTTAAATGATAGGAAAGAACTTGCCAGGCCCAGAACAGGGCAGCTGTACATAGTTGCTGATGTACATAGGTGAACTTTAGCATAGATAGGAAGACTGTATGATTTCCACAGGGCATTTGTGGGCACACTGGTGTTGCTTGAGAAGTGCAGCAGTGCCACAGAGAGAGGCAGGGACTAGCCCAGAGAACCCTGGTTGCCAGGTTAGTGAAGTTCTTCCTGTGGGTGACCCTACAAGCAGAGAAAGGCTTCACACTGAATTTGGGATGCTCAGATAGCATTGTAGATCAGAATCTGGCAGCTCTGTGGAGGAGGATGGCTGTGCGGGCACAGGACTAGTAACAGACACGCTGTTCAGGTGGCAACTGCAGCTGTCCAGAGGAAAGCTAACGATGGCTTCAACCAGGCAGCAGTTCAGGGGAAGGGACAGAATGGGTAAGTATTTTGGGGGTAAAAGGGCCAGGACCTAGGGACTAAATTGTGTACAGATGGGAATGGGGGAGGATGGCACTTAGGTCTTTAGTTTGACTTACTCTAGCATTTGGCTTGACTCTTCGACAACCAATGAAGAAGCATGTGCAGCAGGAGAAGCTGGTTTAGTGAACATGACTTTGGCTGGAACAAAATGAGTGCAAAGGCTGTGAAGCCCAGGTTGGGAAAGCCAGGTGTATTCAGCATTCCATATACATGTATAGAAGTAAAAAAAAAAAGGTTAAATCAAAAAGAATTAACCTAGAAGGTAACACACACGCACAGGAAATTAATGTGAGTCAACTCCCTGTATAGCTATCCTTATCTCACCCAGCAAAAACCCTTGTTCCTTCCTATTATTGCTTATATTCTCTCTACAACAAAATTAGAAATAAGGGCAAAATAGTTTCTGCTGGGTATTGAGGGGGTGGGGGGGGAGAGGAAGGGGGGTAGAGTGGGGGGGTAAGGGAGGGGGTGGGGGCAGGGGGGAGAAATGACCCAAGCCTCATATGCACATATGAATAATAAAATAAAAAAAAAGAAGTAAAAAAAATCATTTAAATGGACTAGCACATCCAAGAAGAGGCCTATTAAGAAATTGCTAAGAGCTCATTTTTTGAAAAGCTAAATTATTGCTAAGATGAACAATTAAGAAGTGCCAAAGACAAAAAGAACAGTTGGCCCTCAGCCTGGATATCCCTGGGAGTGATGGACTTAGCTTCTTAACTCTTTAGTCTTGGGAATTCCGTTTTGCCAGTTCTCTCAGGAATGATCAGGATCTAGTCATCAGAGTTTCACATCCTGACTCCTGCTCAGTAAGCCAATTTCTGCTATTCCTAAGGAAGCCATGTGGCAGCACCAAAGGATTGGATTCAGTCATTCCAGACTTCAAATCTGGTTTCATTACTTCCTGACTCCTGCAAACCTTGGCTTCCTTGTCTGGAGAACAGGGAGGACTGCCTTGCGGGGAGGTTATAAACATTAAAAGGAATAGCATGTTCTAAGCATCTCACTGCACCCCAGGCCTTTTTCCCTCCACCCACTCCTTGCTGCTCTTCTCACTGCAGGTGCAGGGGCAGCTTGGGAGGTGGACAGGATGAAAGCTAAGAGCCAGCAGCCAGGAGACCAATGCTGATTTTCCCAACCTGGAAGGAATGTCCAGAAGCTGCTGAGCTCATGAGCTACCAAGAACTAAAAAACTTTGCACATTTTCTTTTAGGAGAGAATCCAGCTCTGCTCTTTCTGGTTTTCCAATATTAGCTCCAGAACCAACTAGATAATCGGTCAGCAACATTCTTTCACACTGACAGATTCTGGAAGCTGAGTTAAGTATTAAAAAGTCAATGCTCTAAATATTTCTAACATCTCTGAAATATAGGAAGAAATGAAGCCAGGGAGACTTTGTTTTCTTCTGAGACAGGGTCTTGCTATGTAGCCCAGGCTAGTCTTGAGCTCGTAATTCTCCTGCCTCTTTCCCCTGACTGCTGGGCTTACAGGCGTGTCTATAAACTCCCTGAATTCAATCCCCAGTACAGAAAAAAAAAAAAAAAACCCAAAAAACTTAAGAATTTCTAACATGTTTTAATATATAAAATGTTATGCAAAGTAGCTTTTATTTATTTATTAAAAAGATCAAAAGACCTGCTTTATGTAGTCAGCAACAATGAATTTTTCAAGGACCTTTAGGGTGGTAGCAAGGAGGGGTTTGTGTTACTTTCATGGGCAACAGCTAGAAGCCTTAGTAGGATCTAAGACTTTGTTTAGCCCAGGCTGGCCTTGAAGTCACAATCCTCCTGCCTCAGCCGCCTTAGAGCTGGGATTACAAGCATGTACCTCATGCTTGGCTAAAATTTTTGATTAGTAGAGAAGTGGACAGAGAAAAATATAGTCATGGGTAAAATATCTAAAAAGATTTGAATGAATGTTTTTAAAAGTAAGTTCTTAGTTCACAAAATTCCATGTTCTTTTTTTTTTTACTTTCCTTTTTGAGACAGGGTCTTGCTAGATAGCCAAACCTGGCCTTGAATTTGAGATCAACCTGCCTCAGCTTACCAAGTACTGTATTACAGACATGCACCACCACACCTGGCCCACTACCTGTTTTTAAAGCATGGCACTGTTCCTTGAGAGAACTTTATCAGGCTATATGTCAGACACATAGTAGATACTCAGTAAATTAAATCTATTTAGCGTCCGTAAATGAGGTACAGCTTTGGCTACATAGCATACAGTATTGTGTTCACACATGCAATATATTTTTAAAAGCACTCTTATTGGGAATGCCATAAAATGATAAGTGATCAAGAGAAGTTTATTTTGATTTATATCAACAGCAGTGATTATATTTTACATCAAAAATGAAAAATTAAAAATGAAACATATCACTATCCATATAATCTATATATCTCCCATATTTTAATCCATTTTACAATAGAGATTACATTTTTCCAAATATTACAAAATATACCTTAACATCAATGATTCCTTAGCATTTTAAGAGCTATGGCTTATTTTAAGAGGTATTAGGTTTACAGAGTGAGCCAAAGTATTTACTAGCTGCCTCAAAACTGATGCCAGGGTAAGTTTGAACAGCACATAAATGTATGTCTATGTTTTCAATAGTTGATTTATTTGCTGGTAAGTAGTTCTTCAACTAACATCCTTGTTTCTGAGCAGAACTATGCATTTCAAGCAGGAACAGCAAGACATGCAGGATCATATATCTTTATCGTTTCATCCCAAGAACAGTCAGCTACCTATAAAACAAAATGAATTAAGAAGAAACATGTTTAGGTGCACAAAGATTCAAAACAGGCAGCAAACATCCCCATCCCGTAGTGTGCAACAGTACCTCATCCACCAGTGAACATGTTTTTATGTAGGAAAAACCAGGGGCATGGTTCTGGTAAAAGGCCTAGTTTTCCTTTTCAAGATCCATTTTGGGGATTGGCTTCAATAGCTGAAATTGCCTACAAGGATTCCCTTCCTCACCAGAGAGCTACAAATTCCGTACCTCCTGACAAATGTTGAAAAGAATGACTGTGAACTAAGACTTTTTTGCTTAATGGATGGTTTAAGATTTTTCTCATAGTAAAGAAGTAGAAAGAGAGAAATATTGCATCATGGGCACAGTATCTAAAAATATTTGAATGTCAGAAAATGTAAGCTGGAGACAAGGGGATGGGAAGGAAGATAAAGTACAGCTCTCCCCTTCACAAAACTGCTTATTCCAAGTTGAGTGTGGAACCTGTGCTAGAGACTCTCAGAGACAGGGATTGTCTGATTCCCTTGGGATCAGGGTTAACAGCCTTCACAATGCCACAGCCTTCACACTGGAGCAGCAGAGCCAGAATCAGCTAAGTGTCTCTACTAAAAGTAGTCCCTCATAAAAGGCAAACTGCCAATCTTCATTGTGTCCCAATTCACAGGGGACACAACGATGGTTGTGTTAATTTATCCCTAACTCATCTATGTGTATTTTTTCAGTATGTTAGTGTCAACTATGATGGAGAAGAGAATCAGAGAAATAAGACAGGCTTCTAATGCAAGGTATCTGTAAATTATGCTCCTGATCCAACTTTTCCACTCCAGTTTCTTATTTACTCAGGTCTTGTAACTGACAGATGTCAAGGGCCACTGAATTAGCGAATGTTCATGTACCTATACTTGATTAGTATACAAGAAAGTTCTAAAACTATAATGATATAGAACTATGAATATAGTGATTCAAATTAATGCAAATAACAAAGACATTTCTCTATTAGTTAAGTAATTAAATCCCATCTAGTTCTACAAATTTGAAGAAGTTTACAATAAAAATAATAAGGTAGAAAAAATATGCTTTCTGAACTAGTAAAGAGACTCCACAGCGGACCCTGGGAGGCCCCTCATAGAAAAGACACTGTACCACTGCCCTTTTGGGAGTCTCTTTTTAATTACCACCACTACCCCCAAAAGCCTCTGGCAGTACTGCCTTTCCTTTAATTCTAGGTCTTGGAGTCAATCAGGACTCTCTGAAGGCCACATATAGTTCCCAATTGCAGCCAGCCTAAAGGATATTAAAAAAAAAAAAAGACTGTGCTAAAAATAAAGGATGATGAAAACACAAACATTAAAAAAGAAAGACTGCTAAAATAAAAAGTGTTAAACAAAAGAGAAAGCAATGGCATGACAGTAAGTAGACTCTTTCCCAGCTAACCTCTTGCTTCCTCATGACAAAAGTCCTCTTTCCTTCTCATCCCTACAAGGAAACACACTCCTAGCCTCCTTCAAGGCTAGACCCAGGGTAGCCTATGAGATGACAGGGTATCTTTGTGACACCTACCTATGATCCTCTTTCTCAGTTTCAGTCCCCTGTGTGAGGACTTGCCTCCTTTGCCTGTTACCCTGCTGTCAGACAACTGTGAAAGACTAAAACCAGCAACGAGATTACTAGGTGTCCTTTCAGTGAAGCACTGGTATAGACTTAGGGTCCTTCTGATTTTATAGGGGTCTATGCCTTTCAGTCTTTGACTGGTCTATTTTACAATTCTGTAAATTATAGAAAACTGTTCACAATGCAAATGATTCACATCCATAAAGGTTGCAATGAATAATGTCCTCTCCCAAGAGATGGCTTCAAATCTTACATTTTATTGTCCTGTAGATACTGACCAGTTTTGCACTTGTTAGTAAATACATTTCAGCATTTAGTGATTGCCTTTATGTGCCTGGTCTTTGGTTCCTTTGAGCTAGCTCTAAAATCTTACCTGAGTTACATAAGTGAGTTAAATAAAAACCTTTGACACATGTTTATACTATGTTTCTATGAGAGTCATGATCCTCATTTTAAAATTCATCCTTTAACATGTTTACATGGGATATATGTTAATCTGCCTTGACAGGGTAACCATTATCTCTATAGAACATAATAACTCTTGCTTTCTATTTTTTTAACCCTTGCTTTCTAATAGGACACAACACAGTAACAGAAAAAGATATTTCAGTATAAGAACAAACATCCTGAGATGGAGATAAGGGCTAGATTACACTAAAAAAAAGAGACTCATAATAACTGCTAAAATTAGGCATGAAATTAAAGGCAAATAATAATATAAGATACACAGATACCATGATTAATTTTCCAGTTTTAAAAGTTTTTCCTAGTACTTGAAATACATGCCTCCATTACAAAAATCATTCGATGTCAAAAGAGTGACTATAAAAGATAAAATGTCTTTCATCATATGTTGTTTTTAAAATCTCGGCCCTCAAATAGGCCAAGTTACAGGAAATGTAAACTGCAGTTTCCTGGAGGCGATGGTCCTCGAGTTTTAGTGTTCATCAGGATCACCTGGAGGTGACACATTGCTGGTCCCATTTTCCTAGCTCTGGTTCTCAGAGCGCGGTCTCAGCACCAGCATCTCTGGCATTACTTAGGGCTGACATGCAGCCTGTAGTCTTTAAACTAAGATCCACAGATGGGCTTCGGAAAGTTCATGAATGTAACACTGTGTGTGCACATACATTTTTTAGGGAGGAATTCATAATTTTCTTCAGCTTCTCAACCCCTGACCTCAAAAAATGTTAACCCAGAGCATTCTCAACTCAGCTGTGCATTATAAGTACATAGACAACTTCCTAATAAGCAGCTAGAATTGAGAACCTGATACAGAGCAGAATGTATCAATTTTCTTAATTGGGTTTTTTCATGTGTACTAAGATGGAGTTTTCTGAGAGTACTTTATATACAGGAATATTTTGTTATTGATTTAAAGAAATTCAAAATTTGGCAGGATTAAGATATTCTTAAGGAAAAATCCTCTTCCTTTCTTGATCAGAAAAAAGCCACAATGTAATGGAAAGCACCTTGTGCTATACTTTCACATTTTTATTTAAAATCTAAGTTTCAAATTTGGTGGGTTGATTTGTGGTAGCAAGAGAGAGCTGGGAGGAGAATTAAGAAAGAGGAAACCAGGTGCAGTGGTATATGCCTGTAATTCTAGTTTATCAGAAGGCTGAGGCAAGGAGGTCATGAGTTTGAGGTCAGCCTAGGCAAACTCAAATAGTGAGATCCCTTCTTAAGGGAGGGTGGGCGGGAGAAAGGGGAAGAGAGATAACATGACCAAGCTATATTCACATAACCCATGCCCTCCCTGGAGCATGGCTAAACCAAGTCTATGCAGCTTCCTGGTTTTGTTCTACATAATCCAAGATCCAGAATTTCTACTTAAAGACACGAGAAAACTCTATTAAGTTATTTAAGCTATAGCTAATAACAATATTGTTATTTACTTCACTTATCCCTGTTGAGTTCTAAATGGACTGAGGGGGTTTATAGATTAATCATCAAAGTCAAATAAAATAAAGATTAAAAGCCCCAGACCAACAAACCCGAAAATCTGCTCTGAAGGCAACTAAAGGAGCACAAGCTTTCAGAGCCAAGCACATCACAGTACTTGCACAACAGCTTCAGCCATATGCTTCATACAGCTAAAAGAAAATGGAAGCAAACTGGATAGTATTGTTGGTTTTCTAGTAACATCTACATATGGATGTAAACACTTCTATATAACTAAAGCCTATAGGATTTTTTTGTTTGTTTTTTAAGAGTCAGGGACGTGATCAAATCTACAAATCTATATTTTCTTCTATTTTGTACACAGTAAACCTTCACTAGATGCTTGTTGAATGAATGAATTAATGAATGAATGAATGAATGGATGGATGGATGGATCCATGTATGAGCCTGGTTTTCCTTCTGCTAAGATTTTAAGTAGACAGCCTTCACATAATGAAGAGCACTTAATCAGATGTGCAGTCAGAGATCTGGGCAAAATAAAACCAACAAATTTTATGGGATTTGGGGCATATATGGGATTTTTTAGTGTCATGAATATTATTTTGAGGAGTTTCTTTTATGTCCCAGGAGCTGCTAGTCAAATATTCATCTGTATTACAAAATATATAGAACATTAATTCATACATACCTATATTCATCCATTTATTCAACAAATATTTATTGAGAGCCTCCACTGTGTCAGAAGTATACCGAGATGACAACACAGCTCCCTGAGCCCAGTGGAGAGAATGGCACAATAGAGGAATCATGGGACCCAGTAAAAGCAGACAGGGACAGGATGAACTGCTATCTAAGCTGCAGCTTAAAGGAGAGGGCCTTAACCCAAGAAGATGTGTTGTCATGTGTGGGAGAGGGGCACAATGGAGAAAGGGAAATGCTCAGGCAGGGTGTACGGAGACATGAAGAAGATCCAAGCGTTCCAGAATAAAGACATAAAGCAAATGAACAACTTTGTAATTCCTTTGGGGGGAAACCTTAATATTCTGAGAATACTTCTTTCTGAGTGTACTCTAGGGTTTCTTGAAGGCTGGCTGCCAAGGCATGTCTGGTTTGGTCTTCTTCCCTTCCAGTGTGAGTGTGCATGTTGACACTGAAGGGTAGGAGCCTCTAGGCTCCACTGCTTCTGCCCAAGGAATTCAAATGGAAAATTTATTCCGTAACCCAATAGCTGCATACATTCACCCCTATGCTCTTTTGAATTTCCTCTATCTTTAGACTAATGTGCAAACCATCTCATCACAACTCAAAATTAATATTAGCAACACTGTAGGCAAAATGGTAGCTTGTCAAAATATTACATTTCTGTACTTAATGTGAAGTTTGAAGAGAGACTCAATTTTCACCATTAGTTCTAAAAGCTGCTATCTTCTAGGGCAGTGAAAAATAACTAAACTTATAGAGAATAATGTCTGTACT